AAACAATCAGCCAAAGGCGCAATCCCTGCACCATCCCCACCTCTCCTGGGGCCTCTCCTCCCTCTCTCCCCACAGGGAAATTGGACGCCACCCATGGGGATTCCCACAACCTTCCCCCCTCCAAAGCGCCCATCCCAGCAGCTTGGGGACGAGTCCTGTGCTTCCCCATACCAGCCCTTCTCGGGGACTGCCTCCAGGGATGCCCTCCCTTGCCTCAGTCCTCATTAACTTCAGACTCCTTCCCATCAACACTGAAATCAACCAACTGCCTGTCGGGCCACCGCCACCACCCCAAACACCACAGCCACTTCCAGCTCCTACTTCTCTGGCCTCCTCTCTCCTTTCACAGGCTGGAGGGCCTGGTCATCAACTCTCTCACTCATAGCCCCCAGTTCCTCACCCCCCACCCCGACCCCTCGTCTGGCTTCTGTCCCTCCTGCTAACATCACTAGTTGCCAAATCCAAAGATCCCATCCCTGTCATCTTTGACCCTTCGATGTGTCTGGGCCTGGTGGACCCTTCCTCCTTGAAACACTCTCACTTGGTTTCCAGAATCTGCCCCCACCAGCACTCCGGCTCCATCTTCCTCCTACCTTGCTGCCCCTCCCTTCTCAGCCTCTCCCCTCCTCCCCTCCTCTTTGGGTGCTCTCAGCACTGCTCCAGGACCCCCCTCCTCATAGCTTACTCTCTCCTCCACAGCCTGGGCATGAGCCCTACAGTTCCCAGCCTCCCCTCCAGGCTCCAAGCCTGCTGGTCTCATGGCCCCCAGAACTCTCAAACTCGGCACATCATCAGTACCCCACTTAACAGCTCGCCTCGACAAACTTGTGTGTGTCCCCAAATGGAAAATGGCACCGATTGTCACCCAGACCCCAGGGCCAGGCACCTGAACCCTGGCCCCTCTCCTGCCTTCCAGTCTCATTGCACTCTGTCACCAAGGCTTGCTGGGTCTTCCTACAGAAGCTTCTCTGCAGTCCGTCTGCTTGGACCCATTCCCACTGTCTCTCACCAGGACAATCCCAGTGACCTCACAGAGCTCCCAGCTTCCCCCTGCCCCTCATTTCTCCCCTGGGTCCTCCAGGGAGATCTTCCTAAATGTAAATTTTGCCTTGACACTTCTCTACTCAGAATCCTTCTTTGGGTCCCCATTGCTCTTGTGATAAAGTTCTAACTCCTTACCAAGACGTCAGAGCAGCGCATGAACTGCTCCTCCCTGGCCTCATCTCTCCCCACCCTTCTCTTCCTGGCTTTAGATCTGCCCTGACAGTTCTTTCAGTTTCTAAATGCTTCACGTCTCTCTCACTGTTAGACCTTTGCACTTGCTGCTCCCCCTGCCCAGAATACCCTCTCCTCTTCACCTTCAGCTGCCATCATGCGCAGCTGAAACATCTCCTCAGGAGCCTTCCCTAATGCATTCACTGGTTGAATGCGTTGATTAAGCTCCAACTCTGTGCTTTTCCTAGGCCATCCCTGATTCCTTCCACTTCCTCCATTGGAATGACTTCCCCTGCAGCAGACTGCCTCCAGCTACCCGAGGGTCATGACACTGAGCGCAGGGCCTGGCCCACAGAAGGCGCTCCGTGAGTGTTGAACAGGGGGAGTTACATGGCCTGTCCCTTAGGACCATGTGCTGTTCGGAGGAGGGAGATTCTGAGGGCTGGCCCTCCCCTCCCCTCAGTCCACCACTGACCCACGCGAGTGACTCCCCGGCTTCACACGTCCTGGTGCCCCAAAGGGCATGGGATGAAGCTTGGCCGGTGAGGACCTTCATGATTCAGCTCCCACCTGGCTCTTTCTTAATTCCTCTTCCCCTTTCCCCACCACATGCAGTCGATCCTCATTATTCACGGATTCCGTATTTGCAAATGTGGCTTATTCGCTAAAATGTAGTTGCAATTCCAAAATCAATACCCAAGGCACTTTTTCCACCCAGGGCCATGTGCAGAATGGCGAAACAGTCAGGGCCCCAGACGTGCATCCCCCTCCGAGGCTGAACAAGGTGGCGCTCTGCCTTCTCCTTCCATCTTTTCTACTGGAAACACGTGTCCCTTTCAAGGGCTATTTAGTGCCACGTTTTTCGTATGTTTGTGCTTTTTGTGGGTGACTTGACTATTTAAAACGGCCCCCCCCCCAGCCTGTGGAAGGCTGAAGCGCTGTCTGATGTGCCCACACACGGAGAGGCTGTGATGTGCCTTACGGAAAAAATGCATGTCAGACAAGCTTCGCGCAGGCGAGAGTCGCGGTGCCGTCAGCCCTGAGTTCAACGAAGCAACAGTTTATATTAAAGTATTTCTTCAACTTAGAAACACACATAAAACAAGGCTAGCTGCTGATTAGTTGATGAAAGTGGTGTGACCAGAGGCTCACAGGAACCTCGAGCTGCACCAGTTGGTTCAGCGTTGGTGTAGATTTTAGAGAACAGGACTCCCACGAATGTGGGGAACCGACTGGACACATACCCTCAGACGTGCATCCCCAGCCCCAGTGACAGCAGGCTGCTGGCTGTCCCCCCAAATACACCATGCTCTTGCACACCTGCAGGCCTTTGCCCAAGCTGGTCCGCCTGCCAGGAATGCCATTCCACCTGGCAACTTCTTACTCACCCTCGAGGCCCAGCTCAGTTCGCCCCACAAATACTCACAGAGCGTCTCCGCTGCGCCAGGTCCCACTCTAGGCCCTGGGGGACACAGCAGCAGATGCAGCAAAGGTCCCTCTTTCACCATGGTGAGAGCACCCTGTGCCCTGTGCCCAGGTTAACTTTCAGTTATAGCCTTACTCTAGTGAACAAAAGTGCAGTAAGTAAGCACTGACCGTGTGCTAGGCACTGTGCTAAGCACCCTACATGGACCACTCATCCTACTGCCCTCACCACCCCATCAGGTTAGGTATCATGTGCACAGTTTGCAGGCAGCCCAATCAAGCCTTAAAGGTCTCACCGCTGCCAAGGGGCACCAACCCAGGAGCTGGCTTTTCTGTTTGGTGACCATGTTTCCCCACCGGGCCTGGAATCTCTGAGGGCAAGGACTGAATGGGATTCATCCGTTAAACTCCCCCAGTCCTGAATGGGATCCTTGCAAGCAGCACATCTCCTCCTGCCTCCCCTATGACTCCTCTGCTCCAGCTACACTGGCCTTGCTTGAATCTATCAATCTCTTCCCACCTCAGGACCTTTGCACTTGCTATTCCTTCTACGTAGACCACCCTTCCCCCAGCTCTTTGTTGGACTCCATCCTTTTCATTCAGGCTTCAGCTCAAATGCCACATCCTCCTAGAGGCATTTCTGAAGAACCCTCTAAAATAACCCCTCATATTCTTATTTATTTATTGAATGCCTCTACGTCTACAGTCACTCCAGTGTGTTTAACGAATCTCTTTGGTCTGTGTGTTTTCTTGCAGAGTGGGCATTGCTGTTTTGTGTGTACTCTTACCTTACACACTTCATGTTGGCTGTAGATCTCATTCTGTGTCTTCCTTTTTTTTTCCCCCCCTCCGGATCATGCTCTGAAGATTTATTCTTGTTCTCCGTACATCTAAAGATTTTTTTTAAATTTATTTGTCAGAGAGAGAGAGAGCACAAGCAGGAGGAGCGGCAGGCAGAGGGAGAAGCAGGCTCCCCGCTGAGTAAGGAGCCCGATGCGGGGCTCAATCCCAGGACCCTGGGATCATGACTCGAGCCAAAGACAGACACTCAACCGACTGAGCCACCCAGGCGTCCCGCTGGGGGTGTTCTCGGTACATCTAATTTGTTGCTCCTGGATGCTTCTAGATGCTGCATGGACTCTATAGTGGGCATCCATGACCCACACACACCCCTCTCCACTTTCCCAGGGATGGACACAGGTTTGCTCTCCAGCACCACGAGCAACCATAGTGAACATCTTTGTCCTGCTCCCCTCACGAGCCTTTGTGAGAATTCCTTCGGAATTAGAATTTCTGCTCACAGGGTATATTTAGACTTATTTTGACAAGGTATGCCTGTTTACCATCCAAAAGCTCTGCACCATCCCACACCCACCAACAGTGTCCACATCCCCACCACCTCCTGGCATTATCCAACTCACTAAATATTTTGTTGGCTTATAGGTGATCGCTCACTTTTTTTTTTTTTTTTAATGTAAGTAGGCTCCATGCCCAGCATGGAGCCCAACATGGGGCTTGAACTCACGACCCTGGGATCAAGACCTGAGCTAAGGTCAAGAGTCAGACGCCTAACTGACTGAGCCACCCAGGCACCCCAATCGCTCACATTTTTATGTGCATTTCTCTGACGCTAATGAGTTTAAGTACATCCTCATATGCTCATGGGCTTCTGGCTTCCTCCTCCCTAAACCGCCCATTCTTGCCCTTTGATAAGAATTTTTTCTTTAGGGGATGCTCTCTGTTTCCTGTTGGTTTGCAAATTCCTTGTATGTTCTAAAATTAGCCCCTTGCCGATTTCAGACATTGTCTTTGTTTTGCCTTCTGGTCCATGCCTTTGAGGGGGTTCAGGAAGGCATTCTCTCCCCCTGGAAGAGTTTCCCCACATTATCTTCCATTAGCTTCCAGTTTCACCTCTCACCTTTGGTTTTTGAATCATCGGGAGTCCACTCTGTATGTGGCAATAGGTCAGGATTTAATTTTATAGTTCTCCGGATAGCAAATCACTGCCATTGTTTGATATCCCATCATCCTGTTTTTTTAAATTGATCACAATTCATAACTTGGAATATAGTTATTTCCAGTTGGCTGTTCGCAACCGTTTTCTCTCATTAGACTTGAGGTCCTGGAGAGCAGGGACCATGTCTGTCTTGTTCCTCATTTGGTCCCCAGCCCCTGGCTCGGGCCTGGCACCCGGTAGGAGCTCGAGGGATATGTGCTGGATAGAGGGAGGGAGGAACAGAGAAAAGGATGAAGGGGCAGAGGCCTGGAGGGAGAGAGAGAAGGGTGGGAGGCAAGGTAGGCCTCCCTCCCTCTGCACGACACCAGCCCCCTCCCTCTCTCAGGCTGTCCCTCCCCAAGTAGCCCTGCTCATCCCCAGGCCTGGGCCATACACAAGGGCAAGCACCTAGAGGGCATCGACAAGGAGGACCCCGCCACCTGGAAGACCCGGCTCCGCTGTGCCCTCAACAAGAGTGCTGACTTCTGTGAGGTGCGAGAGCGCAGCCAGCTGGACAGCCCCAACCCCTACAAGGTCTACCGGATTGTGGCCAACGGCGCCCGTGGCCCAGGTACCATCCTGCCCCTGGAGGTAGTGGTGGAGGACGGCACTCTGGGCAATAAGGACCTCACCTTGCCCACCTGTAAACTGAGAAATGGTGGGCTCGTTCAGCTTAAACTCATGGGCTGGTAAACACAGAAGGACCCATAGACATTCAGTTTATCTTCCCATTAGAAAAGGAGGAAACTGAGGCCGGGAGAGAGGTGGGCCCTGCCTGAGATCACGCCATGATCCTCATGTGGGATCACCTCTGTTGGGGGGGCTCCCTTGAGGCCCAGGAGGCAACAGTCTGTCTCTGGCTCCATCCATCCAGTTGCCAGAGCTTGTGTTCCCCCTGAAAAGAAGAACATTCTTCAGAGCCAGCAGGAGCCCCCTGGAGAAGTGACAGAGCTGGCCTGCGGGACAGACCAGGTTAGGCGTCCTTCAAGCCCCCGCAGCCTTGCCTGCTCCGTCACCTCTCCCCCGAACTGCCCTCGGCGCTCTCTGGCTC